TTATACGCAATGAATCATGGAACACTACATCAAAAACTAATGATGTAATGTATGGTGATTAACATAACATAATAAAAAAAATAAGTTGAAATGGGTAACTTACTGTGAAGGCAGTTACATGTTGCCCTGACAAAGGGAGTTGGAAAATGCTCTGTCTTGCTGCTCTAGAACTGCATTTCCAAAAGCCTATTGTCACTGTCCACAGGAATGCTTACCCCCAAGTCAGTGTGTCCAAAATAAAACTCATATTCCTCCTCTATTCCCCAGAACACTTAGTTAATTTTGGATGCAGGCCATGACGCTATATCTAGACTAGCATGGTCCAAAATGTAAATAGGGCTAGTCCAAATTGAGGTGTGCTATAAGTGTAAAATATCCACTGGATTTCAAAAACTTAGTATAAAACAGAATGTAAAATATATCATCAGGGTCGCCTGGGTAGCTCCGTCGTTAAGCATCTGCCTTCAGCTCAGGTCATGATCCTAGGGTTCTGGGATCGAGCCCCGCATCAGGCTCCCTGCTCAGTGGGAAGCCTGCTTCTCCCTCTCCCACTCCCCCTGCTTGTGTTCCTGCTCTCGCTATCTCTCTGTCAAATAAATAACATCTTTTAAAAATAATAAAAATAAAAAATAAAATAAAATATGTCATCAATAATTTGTATATAGATTACCTGTTGAAATGATCACATTTTAGAGATACAGGGTTGAAAATACATTATTAAAAATAATTTCGCCTATTTCTTTTCTCCCCTTTTTAAGTGTGTCTACTAGAAAATTTAAAATTATATAAGTGGCTCCCATTTGCAGCTTGTGTTATATTTCTATTGGGCAGAAAGGGTCTAGACCATTGAGATCAGGGGCCAGATAAAGCTAAGCATCAATTGCTGAACCCTAAGAATCCTCCAGAAAGTAGCAAAGAAGTGAGAGGAGAAAGATACCTGTGAATTGGGTCTGGCTTGGATTTCAAGGAATTGATGAAGGGGATTTCTAGGCATGGGAGACAGTGCAGAAGCTGAGCAGGAGTATAAAGCAAAGATAACAAAACTATGTTTTGAATGCCAGATTATCTAAAACTATTGCTCTCATTGTGTTCTCTCTGGGTTGCTTTTGCCAGAGCCTTCAGCCGTGCCTCCGAATATTCTAACCACGTCTAACTACACCACAAGGTAGCAAACTTAGGCTGAAGAGTTACAATGGGAAGGTGTGTCTCCCACAGTCAGGAATGACCAAGAAGAGAACCAAGAGGATGATGAACTTAAGGACAAAAATCAGCTGCCCTACCTACCAGGAGATTCCTTTTCCAGTGCCATCCCTGGAGTTCCAGGCTTTGGTGGCGAGTTTTATTTGTATGTTTTTATTTTGGTTGGGCATTACAAGGATGACATCACTTTCCCAAGGCCTCCTTTAACTTGAAACAAAACCCCAGACTGCCCTAATCCCGAAGTTTACTTGAACCTCATCTGCATTCACCTCACACTTTGGAGTATGCCAAAGTTGTCATCAGAGTCCAGCTTTGTACTTTGTATCTGTTTCCCTTCCCAAGAGCAGATGGCAGCCTGGACCCAGTTATTTCAACCTCCCTTGTAGTCTTATCCCATGGAAATCCTCATATGCCTCACGCCTGGGCAAGCTCAACAACTCAGTGACTGAAATGCATGGCTTCTAAGGTCTTTGTCAACCTTATATTACTCTAACAAGAGCAGATCAGTGATTGCGTAGGGGCAGGATAGGAGGTATTACAAAGGCGCTGAGGAAACTTTGAGGAGTAATGGATATTTTCATTATTTTGACTGTGATGATGGTTTATGGGTATATAATGGATCAACTTACCAAATGTACACTTTCATCCTGTCAACTATACTTCTACAAAGCTGTTAAAAACAATATTAACATGTTTCTTTCTCATAATCCATTTCCTGAATCAAGAAACCAATGAACAAACACTTATCTATCACCTACTCTGGCTATCTGCATCCCTGATAGGAATAAAGTATTCTTGGCCAAACAGCATCTCAGGGAAATCATTCTATCATTTCCTTTACACAAATGAAGCACTATTTTAGCAGCAAAGCTTCCATAATATATTTCATTATGTTAATCAGAAGAGAAAGTCATCTGATACATGTTTGAAACCAGTGGATTGTCCATCTTTCCAGAGAAAAACATTTGTCTAGTAAATAAAGAATAAAACTCTGAAATCACAACCCAGTGTAGCAAAGTAGTTGTGTTAGGCTGGGTTTCACAGAAACAGCCTGAGAGCAAGTGATTTGAGGTTCTCAGGTAAAAACTGTTAAGTTGGTAAGCAGAACAAGAAAAAGGGAAGAAACAAGGGAAAGATGTGGGTCCAGCAGCAGTCCCACCCCACAGGGAGCTGCAGAGCAGAAATGACATGGCAAAAGGGTTCCTCTTTAAGGCAGGAGGTACCCCAATATCTGTCATCCTTTAGCTATAGTCCACACCTGGGAGTCTTGGGGTATAACCTCCTGGTCAGTTCTTGGCAGGGCAGCTTCCACCAACAGGCAATTCTCGAGAGAAGGTATAGCTGTGAGCTGTTGGCAGCCTATATTCACAGCACTGGGAGAAGGGGGGCACCTACCTACCTGAAAAACTGTTTCAGTTTTCCTCCATAAAGTGCGACTAATGATAGCAGCTCTTTCATATGCTTGTCAAAACTAAGTAATAATGGATGGAAGCATTCAGAAGAGCACTTTATATTACATAGTATATGTAATTCACTTATAATCATGCATGGCACATTGTAAATGCTCAATAAATGTTATGTTACCGTTGTTGCTGTTATTGTGTCCTCAGAAGTACGCATACCAGGTGTCTCATTGCCCAAGTGCTATCCAGGTGTCCATGAGTGAGATTTCTATTCAAACATTATTTAAGGGCAACCAAAAGATTCCACATCTAGGTGACTGCCTAGATAAATGTGTACATTATTTTTATCTGACACTTTCTCCAAGTTCAAAATCAAGTAAGGGTAACCTTTTCTGTGTTTGTCATTAAAGAATAGGGATGGGTGTGAAAAAGAGAGAGCTTTTCCTCTAAGATCAGGAAAAAGACAAGGATGTCTACTTTCACCACTTTTATTCAACATCATACTGGAAAGTCTAGTGGTAGCAATCAGACAAGAAAAAGAAATAAATGGTAATAAGTTGGTAAGAAATAAGTAAAATTCACTATCTGCAGATGATATGATGCTATATATAGAAAACCCTGAAGACTCCACCAAAAAACTATTAGAACTGATAAATTCAGTAAAGTTACAGGACACAAAACTAATATACAGAAATCTGTTGAATTTCTATACACTAATATAGCAGCAGAAAGAGAAATTAAGAAAACAATCCCATTTACAATTTCCCCCAAAAGAACAAAATATCTAGGAAAAAACTTAATTAAATGAGGTGAAAGACTTATACTCCAAAAACTATAAGATACTGATGAAAGAAATTGAAGATGACACAAACAAATGGATTGAGAGAATAAATATTGTCCATACTACTCAAAGCAATCTAGAGATTTAATGAAACCCCTATCAAAATACCAACAGCATTTTTCACAGAATCAGAGCAAATAATACTAAAATTTGTATGGAACCACAAAAGACCCTGAATAGCCAAAGCAATCTGAGAAAGAGCAAAGCTGAAGGTATCACAATCCCAGATTTCAAAATATACTACAAAGCTATAGTAATCAAAACAGTATGGTACTGGCACAAAAATATACACATAGAACAATGGAACACAATAGAGAGCCCAGAATTAAACCCACATTTAATATGGCCTACTAATCCATGACAAAGGAGGCAAGGATATACAATAGGAAAAAGAGTCTTTTCAACAAATGGTTTTGGGATAACTGGACGGTTATATGTAAAAGAATAAAACTGGACCACTTTCTTATACCATACACAAAAATGAACTTAAAATGGATTACAGACCTAAATGTGAGGCCTGAATCCATAAAACTCCTAGAAAAAGGCATAGGCAGTCATTTCTTTGATGTCAGCTATAGAAACATTTTTCTAGATACATCGTCTCAGGCAAGGGAAACAAAAGCAAACATAAACTATTGGGTTACATCAAAATAGAAAGCTTTCACATAGAAAAGTAAACCATCAACCATCAAAAAGGCAATCTACTGAATGGGAGAAGATATTTGCAAATGATATGCCTGATAAGCAGTCAATATCAAAAATACATAAAGAACTTATACAACTCAACACCAAAAAAAAAAAAAATTCTGATTTTAAAAATGAGCAGAGGAGCTGAATAGATATTTTTCCAAAGAAGATATACAGATGGCCAACAGACACATGAAAAGATGGTCAACATCATCAGGGAAATGAAAATAAAACCACACTGAGCTATCACCTTACACCTGTCACAACGGCTAGAATCAAAAAGACAAGAAAAAACAAGTGTCAGCAAGAATGTGGAGGAAAAGCAACCCTTGTGCACTATTGGTAGGAATGCAAGTTGGTGCAGCCATTGTAGAAAACAGTGTGGAAGTTCCTCAAAAAACAAAAACTTAAAAATAGAATTACCATACGATCCAGTAACCCCACTACTGGGTATTTAGCCAAAGGAAAAAACCACTAATTCCAAAAGTTATATGCACCTCTATGTTTATTGCAGCATTATTTACAATAGCTAAGATATGGAAGCAACCCAAGTGTTCATTCATGGATGAATGGATAAAGATGTGGTATATTTTACAATGGAATAATAGCCACAAAAAATGAGATCTTGCCTTTTGCAACAACATGGATGTACCTAGAGGGTATAATGCTAAGTGAAATAACTGAGACAGAGAAAGACAAATACCACATGATTTCACTCATGTGGAATTTAAGAAATAAAACAAACAATTAAAGAAGACAAAAAAAAAAAAAAACCAGGCTCTTAAATACAGAGAAAAACTTGGGTTGCCAGAAGGGAGGCAGGAGTGGGTATGGATGAAATAGATAAAGGGGGCTAAGAGTACACTTACCTGGATGAGCACTGAGTAATGTACAGAATAGCTGAATTAGTATACTGTGCACCTGAAAGTAATATAACACTATATGTTAATTATACTTCATTTTTTTTAAAGGAAAGGGTAGCTGAATAAAAAAAGAGTGGGTGTTATCTCCACATTGGCTGAGATTTGCTTCTGTGGCAGACCCTCACTAGATGGATTCTTCACTTAGCTCCTGATAGAAAAACCAAAACCAAAAATAAAACCCCTCTCTCACCTACGCTGTGTGACCCCAATCACAAGACCAGAGTCTTCCTCAAGAGTTCCCACAAAGCTACACCCCATACTTGGAGGGACACTTAAAATCAGCCCCAGGGGCCAAATCCCTGATTCTCAGAGGCAAATATAGAAAATTTAGACTCTTCCTCCTCTTCTATCTCCTAGTTTTGGAAACCAAACTGACCTCTTAGTCACAGATGACTAAAGAGGGTGGGATGGGGTCAGTGGCGAGTAGACACGGTTCCCAGCAGAGAGACGGCAGCGATTTTCCGGTCTAGGAATGCCAGCAAATGCGAGGAGGGGGCGGGCTTTCTCGCGATGGCTGCTTCTCCCCCGGTCCTGGCGAAGGAACCCCGCGGTCCCGCTGGCTTTCGGAACCGGCACACCAAGGGGAGCCCCCACCGGAGCGGCGGCCCTGGCCGGGGCGCGCGGGCGCCTGGGCGGCTGTAACCTTTTCGTGTCCCGGGTCAGTCCGCAGAGGAGTGCTAGGGTCCCGCCCGCCGGAACCTTCCCTTCGCCCCCGCAGGCTTGGGACCCGGCCATTGCCACCCGGGAGCCTCCGGGCTCGCCCTCCCCAGGGACGCGGGGGGCTCCGCTACCTCCATCGAGGCTGCGGGTGGGGAGGGGGGACGGGGGCGGGGGCCGGGAGGACCTGCCTCCGGCCCCGCCCCTCGGACTGAGCCACGCTTTGGGTTTCCTCCCTTTGGGCTCCTCAGATTAGGAAGCCCACCAGTTAGCCGGGGATGGGGAGGAAAGTGCTAGCGTGGCAATGTAGCGTGCATGGAGGTGGGAGTATCTGAACCTTTATTTTTATTTGGAAACTACTAAGGATAAGCTGTGGAGGTAGATGTAATATTTACATTCGTTCTTAAAATAATGTGACTCTAAAATAAATTTAGCGGGAGTGAGGGAGATCCTCAGGGTGGCGACCAGCAGGGAGGTGCCCTTAGGTGCAAGTTTAAGAAGCGCCGTCACGCATGCGGGTGCTTCTCTTAAGCACGAGCGCCCGCCTGGCGGGCTGCGCACAGGGTCCGGCTCTAGGACACGCCCCCGGCCTGCGCTCCTCGTGGAGCCCCGCCCCCGCCCCACAAGCGCAGGTCCCGAGAGCACCGCGGACCCGCCGCACGTCAACCTCCTTTATTGGAGAAGTCTGAATCTCGCATCTGGGCCCTTATGGAAAACACTGAAATGGTTGGGGGATAAAAAGCCATAAGTAGAACTTTAGGGAAATGGGCTCTGCAAGCCAGCGTCTCTCCTTCGGCTCCAGGACGAATGGTACTGATGGCTCAAAGGGGCCTGGAAGTTCTTTTCCTAGGCTGATTTATAAATTATTGCTTATAGTTTTGATGGGGGCAACTTCACAACAAAATAAACCCATTTGCTTTCCATTTCATGGGAAACGAAGCTAAATACACTTTAGTTATTTTTAAGTACTTACAATGCCATCTAGCAAGGGTCGCATAATGAGCTGGTCCTCCGCAGTGTTCACGGGGTGTTCCATTAGAGAGGCCTCTAAATAGAATCCTGCCAGAACTGTAGGGAATCGCGATGGCAATGTGCGTGACTGAGAGGAAATACAAATGTAGAAGGAGGTTGCCTTTTTATGTTCTCTTGGCAGAAAAGTGTAGTAAGTTTAAAGCTTCATGAAGAGTTAAGTTGTCTTTGGAAGACCCTCCAAATGTGAAGGGCCCTAGGAGAGAAACACAGTGAATTGGAAAAACCTATCAGTTCTCTTCCTGTCTTCCGCCTGTGCTTCTCCTTTGGGACTCACACAAAACACTTCATTTCTGGTCACCAAATGTAGGGAAGTTTCTCTCCACATCAAACAATTCTCTGTGACGCCAGCTGAGAGACCTACAATTTAACTGGATTTGAACACTATCTACGTGGACACGTGTCAGATCCCACAGGTGAAGGGCTTGGTTCTACAAGACTGCTCCCACCCTACTTCAGATGCCAATTGCAAATAGTAGGTTACCAACAATATCTGTCCAATCTGGCTGCAAACTGGAGTTTCCCATGATATTCTTCCCCTTGGATTTGATTATTTGCTAGAACAGCTCACAGAATTCAGGGGGAAACTTATTTACTTTTACATTTACTAAAGGATATGATAAAGGATACAGATAAACAGGCAGATGAAGAAGTACAGGCAGATGAAGGGTGCTGACCACAGCAGATTCTGTTCCCTTGGAGTTGGGGTGCATCACCTTCTCTGGAAGCTGTCCAAACCCCATGCTATTGGCATTTTTATGGAAGCTTCCTCATGTAGGCACAATCGATTATCAACTCCCATTTCTACCCCTCTCCCCTCTCTGGAGACCTGGGGGTAAGGCCTGAAAATTCCAAGCTTCTAATTATGGCTTGGTCTTTCTGGGCACCAGCCCCCATCCAGGAGCCATCTAAAAGCCTACTCAGAGTCACCTCAAAAAAACAAAAGATGCTTCTAGTGCTCTAAACACCTAGGAATGGACAGGTTTTTATGAGCCCTATGTCAGGAATGGTTCCTCATTGGCCTAGGATAAACTCCTAACTCTCTCATTAGATTTTAAAGGCTTTTTCTAGTTGGCCTCACTCCTTCCACCTTCTTCTTTAGCCTCTCCTCTTTTTACCCTCCCTGCCTCTCTATCTCCTGCCACACCTCCTTCCCAATAGCTCTTGTTAAAATACTGATTTCCTCTAGGTATAGGAATGCTTCTGTGATCGCTCAGCCTGAAATGCTCTCTGGCCCTTTTTTTTCCCTGGCTGGCTCCTACTGTTCCATCAGGTCTCTGATTAGATGATTTTCTCCAGGTAGTTTACCGGTCTCCACTCCAGAGGCTCTTATAACCACACTGGACCTCCACCACAACACCTAACACAGTATTGCCCATTTCCCCCTATTTCACCACCAGACTAACTACTAACCTGTGCCCAAAAGGAGGCTGCCCCTGTAAAGAGCTTGAGCTTTCAAGTTCAAGAACCTGGTTCCAACCCCAGTTCCTGCATTCCTAAGTTGTGTGCACTTCAGCAAGTTTCTTAACCTGTTTGGGTGTCAGTTTCCTATCTGTAGAGAAGGAGAATCACTATAAAGATTACTGAAATAATGCATGTGAAACATTTGCATGTAGCCAGGCAATTAGTAGATGCTCATAATAGTTGTTATAAATGGTAACAGTTCTGCCCTAAAGTATCCATCCTAGATGGATCTCAAAAGAGTGGACACCTTCTCATCACCACTAAGTGGAGAGAGGAGAAGAAAACTATGATTTTCCTGACCACCCCCCCCAAAATCCTCATTAGCTATATATACTTAATGGAGGTTATTTGGTCTTTCATTCCTCAGTTTCTTTATCTGAACATGCATAATTAATATCATCATAGGATAGACATGAAAGTATTTTGAGCATTTTGAAACAACACCTTTCCCTAATTTTTTATTGAAAACAATGTGATTTTAGAACATTAAAATAGTGAAACTGGTTGGGGGCTAAGAGACCATAAATAATGTAAAACAACAAACCCCCACTTTTAGCCATGACTCTTAACATTTTCCTTCCTGCATCCTTTTTACCAGAAAAGACAAGAAAAGTTGTAAAACAAGTTGTTGGGAATTTCACCACATTTTCTGTCCCCACCTACCAAGACAGTAGTGAGTCAAGCCAAGCAAATGAGCAGCTCATATAAAAACCTCAATGGTCAGGAAAATGTATATCTTGCACAACACAGCCTTAGATCATTGAGATTAGATTTTTTTTTATAATTTATCATCCATCTTAGACAAACTATTAGAAGTAGAAAATGCATTAGCATTCTAAAAGAAAGGAGAAGATTAATCACACACATATCTAATTTTGCTTCTTGGAATTTCTATAAAAATGATAGTAAAAAGGTTGTTTTAAGACACACAGATAAAAAGAATAAGAGAGGAAACACCGCAACAAGATATAAGCAGCTGGTGAACAGTGAATGAGTGATAATTGATTCAGAGAGCTAATCTAGACCTAACTACTAAGCCTGCAGAGGAAAAGTGCAGAAGCAACATCCCAGTTCTACTACAGAATCCCAGAAAGATCTAGAATTGGCGGCACCAGCTGCCTCTGAAAGTGGGGGCAAACATAGGGCTATCAAAGGACTGAGTATTGCCTGTTTCAGAAGCAGTTAGATCCTCAGATCACTTTCTCCCACTCTGTGCAGCAGATCAAATGTTTCTCCACCACCCCATCCAAATACTGGAAGTTTACTCTCTGAAGATAGAAATCAGGGTTTCTGAACGAGGTGACATTAGGCACAGATAAGGACAGAAGTATTGTACCCAAACCAGAAATATTAACAGGATATTTATATACTGAATATTGTGGAAAAAAAAAAAAACACCCCTGTCCAATCTCTTTTTTTGATGAGCTCTGGAATGAACAGCACCAGGGCTATATCTCTCAAGCAGGGAATTAGAAAATACTTCTTTAGGGAACATGAGTAATCCAAATCAATATATCTAAAGATACCCACAAAATTTCCCTGCCAAATCACCCTTCAGTGAATTCCATTGTCAAAAGCCCAGAGATTCCAATCAGTTCAGGGCTCTCAAATATTTGCAGATGGTCAAGGATCACCAGATATCTGAAAGAAAGCCTTGTATCATAAAAGTCAGATGAAAACAAAAGGGAGACAACTTGGAGGAACAGAGACCATGTAGGCAAAATAATGCCTTAAATAATTATTGTTAATGTGCTCAAATTGGAAAGTTATTTTACCCAATCAGAAAGAACAAGACACTATTCCACTTCAAAACTTAGTATAAAGTTATAGTAATCAAGACAATGGGTATTGGCAAAAGAATAAACAAATATATCAATGGAACAAAATAGAGGACTCAGAAATAGACCTCCATAAATGTAGTCAACCAATCTTTGACAAAGAAGCAAAGATAGTCCCTTCAACAAATAGTGCTAAAACAACTGGACACTCACAGGCAAAAAAAAAAATGAATCTAGATGGAGACTTATACCCTTCACAAAAATTAATTCAAAATGGATCATAGGCCTAAATGTAAAAGACAAAACTATGAAAGTCCTAGAAGATAACATAGCAGAAAACCCCGATGACCTTAGGTAAGGAGAGGCCTTTTTAGGTACAACACCAAAGACACAATCCATGAAAGAAATAATTGATAAGCTAGACTTCATTAAAATTAAAAACTTCTGCTCTGTGAAAGACAGTATCGAGAGAACAAAAAGACAAGACACAGACTGGGAGAAGATAATCTGCAAAAGACACATCTTATAAGGAACTGTTTTACAAAATACTTAAAAAAAAAAAAACTCTTAAAACTCAACAATAAGAAAACAAAAAACTTGGGACACCTGGGTGGCTCAGTCGGCTAAGCATCTGCCTTCAGCTCAGGTCATGATCCCAGGGTCCTGGGATCAAGCCCTGTGTCGGGCTCCCTGCTCAGTGGGGAGTTTGCTTCTCATCCTTCTTCTACCTCTGTCCCTCTCCCCCTGCCCGTATTCTCTCTCTCTCTCAGATAAATAAATAAATAAATAAATAAATAAAAAAAAAAAAGTACATAATCTCAAGTCAAGGCACTCTATTCTTTTAAAAAAAAGACCTCAATTATA